ATCGTCTCCTAATTGGGGTTGAGATTGATCTCCTTAAAAGTCTTCGTCTTATCCAACTTTGAAGAGTTCTTTCCCTTTCCGGATTATTCAACCTAGGAGTCATACTGATGTAGGACAGTGCTGGATTTTGAAAACTGAAATTATTTAACGGCCTAAACAGCGAGTAATTTAGGTTTTTAAGGGTTAAATTGAAGGCTAATAGGTAGGGGATGGGATTAGGGTTGATTTGTAGATGATTGGAAGGGGTTTTTAGGTTGAAAAGTGTACTTCTAGAGAGCAGTGAATAGTAATCCAGGAATAGTAAATTGAAACAAAAAAGAAAAAGAAGATAGATTTAGGAATCACTCCTAGAATCCTTTAGGCATCACACTTAAGGTTTAATTGCATCACACAATCCATAAAGAAGCTTCAAAAGCTCTAAAAATTCTCTACATATTTACTCTCTTGAATTAGAAACATTACATGACTTTATATAGACCTTAGAGATTTCCTAACTCAACTAGGACCGAAAAAAGAAACTACTATAATATCTTTGACTTTTAAAATCTATTTAAGATCAAATAAGAAACATAAATAAAACCCAATTAAATAACTTGACCCACAAGACGATCCATGGGCAACCCCTACAGCCCATGCCAATAAATATGCAAATTACCCAAATATCCCCAACCTAAAATCCTAGAAAATATAAACTAATCATAAAATAAGACTAATAATACTAGAAACATGATTAAATGATCTTTTTTTTTTTGTTAAATCATGTCAATTTTCAATTGTTGCCAGTTCTTTGAATTTACTCTTCTTTGAGCTTTTTATATTCTGCATCACATACTTTGACTGAGGTTTGATCCATGTCAAATTCTTGGCTAGTTCTGTCATGCCACATGGCACCTCAGTTCGAGGTCATGCCATGTAGCCGAGCTCATGGACTCATGTGGCCTAACTTAAAATTATGCCCCCACAACTACTATGTTACATGGGCTCAACGGTTCGGGGGAATACTTGTGTCGACATGACGTGGCATGGGGTGTGAGCTTTGTGTTGGGCATGGCCCTGCCATCCTAGACCATGGTTTTAAAAACCAGACCGAACTGGACTAGTCGGTTGAACCGGTTGGCCCGTCAATTAGTCCTCGGTCTGGGTCGGGTTTGTGCTAGAACCATTTCACTTAAAGAACCGGCCTATTTTTGTTGAATTCGTTCCAATTCACAGTTTAACTGCTGAATAGTTAGACCCAGTCACAGTTTATGTAAACCAGTCCGGCCTATCTTGGGCATAAAAAACGTATGCTGACATCTATGAAGCACGGACACGAACACGCCGATTTCTATATATATATATATTTTAATGTATTATGTAGATTCATATTACATTCACCCTAAATCAAAATTAACAAACACTAACATAGTAACATTAATTCAATAAATATAACCACTATATTTAAACAAATTAATAGATTATCCATTCAAAAAAAAGTCATAATAAATGATAACAAGAACTAAGACAAGAAGGGGAAAACATTCAACAATATTCTTCACAAAAGTACTAAATAAGAGAGGCAAAAGAGCAAAGGAAAAAAAAAGAGCCCCGCCGTGTCCCCTACAAAAAAATCTTTAAATTAAAGGGACACGCCAGATAACGTGTCCCGAACGTCTCCCCGGCGTGTCCCTGTGTCGGACACCGCCACGACACTGATTTTGGATTGTCTATGCTTCATAGGCTGACATGAAGCTGCCAAGGTTTGACCTCGTTACTACGGTTCCAAATACAACCGCCAATGCCACTAAGTGTGAAAATTATTAGTTAAGTATTCATAATATTTAGCATTAAAAAATAATTACCAATATATGTATTTGATATATTCTTCTTTAAATATTTATGATATAATTATCATGCCACAGTTTGACCCGATGGTTGAACCAATGACCCTATTTTTTTTTGATTCGCTCACCGGTCCGGTTTTCAAAACAATGCAAAACTCAACTTGGATCAAGGATGAGCTCTTGGTCACAAAAGGGAATTTAGGAGGGAGTAGATCTTGCTTCATATTTGTTAATTCATTTCTAGTTTACACGACTTCAACCAGATAAGCAACTATGAAAGCTATGCCTGTCAATCAAGTAGGTGATTTTGGATTAGCTCCTAGGATTTCGGATTTTACTCTCTTTGAAATAGTAGACTTTGATTTAAGCTTGGATTTGAAAGCTCTACCTTTTAATGAGGGGGGCGCAGACCTGGCTACGGCTACGGAAGATAAGGCAAAATAGGGTCCAGTGGTCTTTCTAGCTTCTGGCCTACTCAACTGGGGCAGGAAGTATAAAAACTCCTTCCCTGCTATAGGCCTCTCGTTCACTGAACAACCCCCCTGTTGCAACACTTACCTATTCTTCGAAGAGCAAACTCCACCTATTTTTGAGCTATTGAATTAGGCGATCCGAAAAAAAATTTCTTTCTCACACCCCTCTATCAGAAATGGAGGCTTGGCTCTGAAATGGCCCAATAGGAAAGATACAATATTGGTTAGCCAACCACAACTAGATGGGAGAGTAAACCAACTTTGTCTTCCCCACGATCTTCCAAGATTTCTTAGGGTGGATGTTTTCGACACGAATCAAGGGCTGCAGAGCTAAACTGGTATGAAGTTGGGCTTCGGGCGTAGCAAACCAAAGAGGAAGGGCAAAGGCAAGGGTGGGCTAGTTAGAAGCACGGAGGAGGGGATAATCCCCTTCGTTGGTTGCATAGAAGTGGTTCTCATGTTGAAGGATGCATTGGATATAATAGCAAGTGCGTGTTTCCCGTATCAATTAAGGGAGTACTTGGCAACTCACTCGTGGGGCATGATATTCCAAAATTCCTCAAGTAATTGCTGCACTTCCTGAGAAAGAAAGTCGTCTTGGTATTAGATCTGCTCTTTTGTTAGCATGAACACTTGGCTTGGTTGAATGATCGGAAAATCATGATCGAAGTCCATCAATACTTGCTACCAATTTCTGCTAGCGCTTCCGATTCCGTGATGAGGTGTGGTTTTGCTAAACTTGTCAAGCCCGTGGAGCAGCTTCACCTTCTCCTGCACACGCGCCCATTTGTGTTGGAGATAAGTTCCGCGACCTGATCCCGCTTTAACTTGGCCTATCGTGAAAGGAAGTCCCTGGTTGGCTCCTCGTGGAGTATAGCTCACATCCAAACATCTGATTGGGGAACGAGGCAACGCCCATCAAGCTCCGGCGGAAAGGGAAGTCTTGCCAAGCTGTATGCCCATGGGTGCACGCATTTCCTCAACTCATTCTAGCATAGCTAACCGAAGGAGAAGATATTCAGTTTCAAGTTAAAGGTCGAGGAAACCGAGACCAAGGGAAGCTAGGAAGGCGAGGAACGAGAAACCAAGTAGTAGGCATCGAAATCTGAGATGGACTACACCAATAGAGTTTCTCGACCGGGTTATTTACATGGAGAACCCCTAAACTATTAAGTAGTATCTCTTTGAATCCTTAAACTATAAAAGTGTATAAATAGACCCTCTAAACTATTGAAAAGTATTACTTTGCCCCTTAAACTATAAAAGCGTACAAATGGAGCCCCCCTAACTATAGAAGTGTACCAATTGGGCCCCCTACCAGAAGGGGTCAAAGTTCTGTTAGGGGGCCCAATTGGTACACTTCTATAGTTTAGAGGGGGTCCATTTGTACGCTTTTATAGTTTAGGGGATAAAGTCATACTTCTCAATAATTTAGGGGGGTCCATTTGTATAATTTTATAGTTTAGAGGGCCAAAATAATACTTCTCAATAGTTTAGGAGTCTTCTTGTAAATAACCATTTCTTGACCTTAAAAGCATCTAATCTTTCTCGATTATGTCTTCCTCATAGCTTCAATGGAGTCTGAAGAATTTTTCGGTGGCGTGACAAATGCAAAGATTGCTACATACGTCTGAAAGATTACCGGACAAGAGAAGGCGGCGTGACACAGGTGTGGGTTGCGGCATTCTCAGTGACCAACTCTCTCTCTCTCTCTCTCTATTATTATTAACAAAAGAAAAAAAAAAAAAAAACTTACTGATGTAATCCAAAATAAAGAAGAATAGGAAGAAACACAGCCAAACACAAGCATCATGGCTAACGTGGTTTATCCCAATTAGATGGCACACTAAGAAGCAAAATCATATGCTAAAGCCCCTCTCTAATCAACCCCAAACAATATTGAGAAGAGATCAACTGAAAGAGCCACTCCCGAAAGGGAAAACACAGAACAGGACAGAATAGCCCAAAAACTTAGCAGAATCCAGTAGCCAGTGTCTAAAATAAGTGCTGAGAACCGTGAACAGGACAGAAAAATCACAACACCTACCCCAATTGCCCTGGCTTTACTCTTAAGCTACACACCCCTTCCATTGAATGAATAAAATCATTAATCAAGTAGTGTGAGGAAATTAATCATTAACCCAAAGCACAATGCGCACCTGAATCAGCTCTGCCACCTTGCTTCAGCAAGGTATGACTCCATTAAACACTAAGTCCCCATATCCTAGACACGTACCAAAATCTGACACCCGTACTAAATCTGTGTAACAGATTTTAGCCCATTGTTGACTTTGAATAAGGGAGTAAATAATAAATGAATAAATAAGAGAGAAATACTATTATGTTTATTATTTTCATCAGCTTTAGTTTATGATTCTTTATTGCTCATTTGGAATCCTGAAGCCTAATAGAATGAAAACATTCAAATTTCAGTAATGAGCACCGTCAGAATTAGAAGTTATCAGTGAAAGGTTATTTGTAAGACATATATTGTTTTGTTTTCTTGATTCTTCAATGAGGGAACAAGAATGGAGGCATTGCATGCTGTGTACACACATGGGCTGTATTTTGAATTTCATGGTGGCATATAACCTTCATTTTTCTTCTCCCCTTGTTTCTCTTCTCTTTTTTATTTTATTTTTCCCCCTCTTTTCCAAATTCTTTTGTTTCAGATCCTTACATTTTGTGTCTTCTGCAATTCCAGGTTTATGATGTGTCAACTTATTTGGATGAACACCCTGGTGGAGATGATGTTATGGTTGCTGCAACCGGTACTTATTTCTTATGCCTTGTGGATATTTGTTTACATAGTTAATGATCGAGTGCATCATGGAGTATGTGATTCAAAAAATATAATTCCTACAAACATATACATATATATAGATATCTATGACACTACAACTCAGGCTCGTGTTTTTAAATGAAGGGAAAGATGCCACAGATGAGTTTGAAGATGCTGGGCATAGTAAAAGTGCAAGAGAGCTAATGGAAACCTTCTGCATTGGGGAGCTCGATCCAGCTTCACCCCCAACTATTATTCCAGAACTTGAAATTCCCTCCAAGAAGAAGCAGCTCGAAGACTTGACAAAGCAATACTGGACCGTTCCTGTTACTGTTGTTGGCGTCTCTGTGGTCTTCATTGCCGCCTTGTACTGCTGGCATAGGAAGTGAAGGAATGTCTTGAAAACAGATAATAACTGTCAAAATATTTAAATGATCAGAACTATAAATAATCATGCCAGAGAACTTTTTAATGATTTGAATGGGCTATGGTTGGTGGTTATTCTTACTGGTAAAAAATGGAGACTTTTTTTGGGTGAATAAAAATGAGACACTTGTTCTATTGTTTAATAAATAATGCCTTAGTGTATGCTACCTGTCTTCATGTTTAATATTGGAGTGTGATGGCACCAATGAGAGGCACTTAGACCTGAGAAATCTCAGTTCATTTCTTATGGAGGCATGAGAAGGGAAATAATAATAATAATAAAAATCCATTTAGGATGTAGTTTCTGCACAGGAAATCTGAATGTTTCCAAGCATCTACAGCGGCAACAACTTGCTGATCACTTTCACCCTCTTTAAGTTCTGGAGCCTCTTCATGGAGAAACCGTGCCAAATTAAGAGTTGTAAGATAGAACAGCATCTTCTGCTGCCATCTCTTAAACTCGGTACCGTTAAATTTTTCCGATTTTTCTCCATGATTGATTGGTACATGAACATGGTTCTGGACCGGTGTTGGTGTAATAATAGGAGTACCACTACCAGATGCAGTTTCAGTTGCAGTAGCCATAATCTTTGATTACAAAAATCAAAAAAAATTAAAACACAAATTAATTTTCTAGTTACTAAAACCAGAAAATAAATTATAACAACAAAATAATTTTATTTTCCTTATTACTAAAACTAGAAAAATAAAATATCACAATAATTTTCTGTAATACCAAATAATATTCTTCAATTGTTAATGACACCAGTATATTACTACTACTTGTCAAAGAAAAGAGACAGTATATTACTACTATCTGTCAAATAGCATAAATCATTATTTGTTTTTCCAACCAAAATATTACTTTGAAAACACAGAAAATTAAATACAATGAAGATACCAAAAAAGGAATCTGTCTTAAGATTGTTGGACAATCTTCACTATATTTAAAAGATTTAATTCTATTGTGTACACAACAACAATTAGAATTTAAAGAAATAAAGAAAATGAGAGAATTTGTTTGATTACAAAAATCAAACTCGAAATAATAAATAAATAAATAAATAACAGATTTTATTTTGTTATAAAAACAAAATTTAAATCTGATTTATTAAATAAAAACAACACTGAAAATAAATTAAATAACTTACTTGATTTAATTTCTTCGAATTATTTTCTGATCAAGTCCAGTGTTTGACATTGTGTCCTTAAGACAGATTCGTCCTCTCCACGGTGCTTTCAGAATTTGGACGTCTATCTCCCAGGATGAAATGATCTACTACAAACAATAGCAGCACTACAAATTGTTTGCCTAAAGGTGGCTTTTGGATTTGAATTGAACAGGTATGAAACCTGTTAGATTCAAATTTAAACAGATTTGAATCTGTTTATTCAAACAGATAGAAACGGGAAGGGCCCTGTTTGGATGTACAGAAAATCCAAAGTGGCTCTTGGTTTTGAATTGAACAGGTATGTGGCTCTTGGTTTTGAATTGAACAGGTATGTGGCTCTTGGTTTTGAATTGAACAGGTATGATACCTGTTGGTTTTGAATTCAAACAGATAGCAAAAAACGGGAAGGGCCCTGTTTGGGTGTGCACTAATTCCAAACTAGTTTATTTCTGTTTGAAAACGGGAAGGGCCCTGTTTGGATGTACAGAAAATCCAAATCAGTTTTATTTGAATTCTGGATTTTATTTTACCAAAAATTAAATTAAATTCAACCGAACAAGCCCAACCCAACCACGCACCCGCGACCAAGCCCAGGCCCAGGCTAGCCCGCCCGACCGGACAGACGGCGGCGCGCGCGTGTGTGGTGATTTTTGGGTCCAATGGGTCTAGCCCATTTTGTCCATAACCTCTCCCTCTAAAACACTTGGGTACCCTTTGGGGCACACCCCAAGTACCAAACCCATGCCTTATAAACCCTTTCAAAACTTCCCACCAAATCAATGTGGGACAAGCCATTTTACAACCTTAAGGAATTTCCACCAAAACTCCATTTCCATGGAGCACACTTTGGTTTCAATTTCCCATTCACTCGGTAATGGTTTTGAGCAACCAAATATACCACGTGAATCACAATGCGGCATAGAACGCGTTACCACTTTGACCCGAGTAAATCGACACTCAGGGCCCACCTAAAAAATAGACCAAACTTGAGAAAAAACTCTGGTTTTACCCAGAATTTTTCTACCATTTCCAACACTTAGGTACAAGAGGGGAAGGTTATTGTGTGAGCACATCTCTCGCCCAATCAAGTGATTAGTGTCACGACTCCATCCCGCCCTAAACAAGATAGTGTAGTATTGACTAGTAGTCGCGGACTACCAAACACCAAACTTTCAAAACAAGTTGGACTCTTAGGATAAATTGGGCAAAATTTTCCATTTACAAATACAAAAGCCATTATTTGCTTATATTGAGTCCATTTGAAACATCTATTTAGAGCAGTGCATATATGTGAGAACCTAAATTTTTAGTAAATTAATTTTAATGCATATTTTATTAAAATCATTTACTAAGTGAAATTTTTGCTACAAATGAATGGTTAGTAACAAATTGGACCTTATCAATTTAATTATGAGTGGTGCTATTAGCACCCCATAAATTATTTTGGACCCTCCATTTCTTTGTGCCCCCACTTGTAAATTTTGAAACCCTTAAAATTTCTTTTTCCGCCCCAAATAATACCAAAATTATCCTTGTGAAAATATTACACCCATTGAATGTACACCATTCACACCCCCACACCCCAAAAAAACCTCTCTTCCACAAAACCCTGACAAAACCCACCAAGAAGAAGAAGAGCTAATGTGATTACTATCTTTGCTATCTCATCTACCATTGTCACAGTTGGTATGCTGTAACGCCCCAAAATAATCCAACATAACTTAACAACATCGACCAACATCCGCTAAATGATACTAATAATCCTTCCATCTTTACATAAATTAATCAACGAGTTTATACAAATGTTCCACATGCGGATTATACATTCAAAGGTATCAAAAAAACATATGAATCTATAGCATGTGAAGCATCTAATATCAAAAATAAACAAAATGCCCTCATGGGCTTACAACTTCCAAGGTTTAAGCCCGGTTACACAAAAGTGGCCTCTCGAACCCATACATGATTAGCCTTTGGTTAGCAAAATAAATCACAACAAAACAGAGTTATTTACTCTTCACAGAATATGTCCACACCCTCAACTTGGCGGGATCACCACATCCTTTCCTGACCAGTCCCGTAGGGGTGAGCATAAAGCCCAGTAGAGAATCCTTACAAAGTATATACAGTTATGCAAATTTCCAATGCTAAATGCAAATGCAAATGCGAATGCGAATGTTTAATGCAAATTCCATGCAATACCATTTAAAGAGAGTTTCATTTACATGCTCTTTTTGAAAATCACCATGTTTCAACAAGAACTTGAAATCTCAACAATTCCGAAACTTTCAATTTTATTCAATAGGGGCGGTAAATACGACTCAGGTAATCCCTAGGTTGGTGTCTGTAAGTAGGCTTAACAAGCACTACCAAAAATCCCATTTTACCGGTTGCTAATCGGAAGGGAAGTGGTACCTCCTCTGTGCATGTTTTCGGTCTTTCACCCCGGACACTCGAGCCAACTTATCAATTTCATCTACACCTCCTATTCGGACTTAGCACCTCCTATTCGGACTTAGCAACATATTTACCCCATAAACATCTCAAAAAATTTATTTCGCATTATATTATACTCAATGTAAATGATCTCAAATCTCAACTCAAAACTTGCAACAATGTAATGCTAGAAATGCCAATACAATATGCCAAAGCTAAATACTAATCATGTAATAGTCAATTAAATGAACATGTAATGTAACAATCATGATCATTAGATAACATTTCTCCATCATCAATTTTCTCCACATTGATTCATTATAACCAAACTTTCCACAATATTTAGCATGATACCTTTCATTTCATTTCAATTCAACAACACTAAACACTTTTCACATTTCATGTGAAACCATTCCTTTATTGCTTCATAACTTTATCCACAATTCCAACTACAAGTTTCCATTTCCACATTTCACACATCTTATGAAATTCATCATCTCTACAATGGCAAGGATATATTCAATTTCGTTCTTCCATTGTGACATATCAACAATTTACTAATTTCATAGGCCCTCATCATCATTTTTTTTTAATTTTAAAATCCATAAATTTGGGCCTTTAGTCAAGATTAGGAATCTCTTCACTTTTTGAAAGAACTCACACACACAAACATCTTTTTTTTCACATAATGAGAGTAAAACCATCAAAGATCAACTTAGAAATATTTGAAATTTTAAACCCTCTTAAAAAAAAAAATCTCTACATTTTTTAGCCAAAATCAAACTTTCAAAAAAACTTCAAGAGAACTTTAAAATCAACCTTAATCTTGCAAAACATGCATATATAACTCAAGGAAATCCCTATCTCAAGGGTTGGAGCAAATGAGAGAAGAAACCCTAGAGCCAAGATGAGAGATTTTTGATTTCTACCACACAATGTGAAGTTCTAGCTTTGCTCTCTAAGATTTGTGAGAGATGATGAATATAGACCCAATGGATTGTAAGAAATCAAAGATTCTTAGTGTTTGATGAGGGTTTTAGAGAGAAGGAGGAGAAAAAGTGTTTTTAGAGAGAGCGGGATGTAAAAAAAAAATGAGATACTTTTAGCCCTAGAAGAAAGAAAAAAACAGAGCTCCCGAACTACCCAGAATGCTGCACATGTGGCGCCCTCTCCCGCATGTGCGCAGTGCCTCCCCCGCACGTGCGGTGGTCCTTTCCCGTCCTTCACTCTGCACCTGCCTTTTAGGCAGTGTGCAACCTTCCATAGCTCGCCCTACCCTGCATGTGCGGCCTTACCCCACACATGCGGCCCCCACCTCGCACATGCGGCCCTGGCCCAGCTGCCCAGAATTTTCCTCAGCTCCATTTAAGTTGCTTCGGACCTGACCTCTCACTCTCCGGAACAGGTGAAATTCAAAACTGAATAAACGAGAACAAGAATTTGTTTGAGAGAAACCCCCGGACACCGCAAACTCAAACGATGAACAAGACTCCAAGTCAATCTCGGCACTTTAATAAGGCAAACCTGAGGTTAAACAAGGAAGAGCGAAGCTAG